TTTTTCAGTATATTTTTCTTCATACTGTCGGATCTATATCCATATATTTGCTTATATAAATAAATAAATAAAATAAATAAATATATATATATATATATATATATATATATATATCGCAATGTCCGTTTGAAATATCTTATTTTGGCGATAGAACCAGAATACTTTTCGCATCGTCTTGTTCTTTGAGCCTTTAACTGTAGTTTCCGTTTTAGTATTTCCTTGATTGATGGAATCTAATTTAGGTATTTAATGTTATATCTCCACTTGATCTTCCTGTATTTGCGTGACGAGATATTTGGGTTTCTTGAGATCTCATCTAATATCGATAACTCACATTTGATTTCCTTTATATTTCTCGCTTCAGTTTTGCCTTCTAAGCTGGCTCTAATTCTTGTTTCATTGTCTTGATATCTAACTTACCAGTAGCTGCTAAATCTGTTGCGTTTACGACATTATTTACTTCTGTACTGTTTCCCAGGGGTTTGTCCGTTAACAATGTTTTCAGTGCAGCATTGTATATTTGTAAATATATTTATTGGACTTTGTCATATGAATTTTTTGGAGCTGCTATCTGTCTGACATTTGTGTGCGAGTTACTCTGCTGATTATTTGAATGATGTGTTTTTTTTGTTTCGGTGATTCCACCTCTGTTGTTTTCAAGGAATTCTATCCTAATGGCGTTTGACTGATCTTCAATAACATAATCAGAATAACTGCAGTTTATGTCGTATGTAGATTCTTCAGTTTTATTTTCTGAGAGATTATTATTTCGTATGTCATTTATTTTAATTTTTACCCCATCCTCTGTTATATTATTTATTTCCAATCTCATCTCTTTATTGTCTGAGTGAGGCTTTATTACATACAATAAACTTTATTGTATTCTTTTCTATACTCAGCTTTATCTGATCTATTTCTGCCTTTGAGAGTCTTTTATTTCGCATGATGACCCTTCGGACATTGGCAAGCATGTTTGGGTTGAGTTAGGGTCTTATTTCAATTCCTATCATAGTTCTCCATATTTGGTATGCCAGATCCGTGATGTTCTTTTGTGAAAAAAGATATCATGATTTATTAATACTCTTCGCGAGTCCATTTCGTTTGGTTTTTTTTTTCATTAGTTGATTTGGCATCGTGTCTAAGGTTGGGAATAGTCCGGGATTGGTGACCAAGTGACTCTTCTGTTTTGGAAGAATATCAGACGAACCCTTCCAAAGATTAGTACACGTTGTAATTAATTATTTATCGCTTATGTTTTTAATTATATTTTTGGGGGGATTAGACCTAGTTCAGTTTTAGTAGGATTTATTAGTCTAGACTGAGTACTTTTTTTTTTCACCCCAAGCAAGGCGGGAAGCCACTATGACGCAAGGGGTTACAGAAAATTTAGAGCAAGATCAGATAGAAGTGATAGAAGAAAGGATGAGGAGAAGGGTAGTGGATAGATCAAGGCAACTGGAGATGTCGATTGACATTACATTTGAATAGCTGGGGATTATAACTCTCAGGGAAACTGGAATAGGGAAGGGAGTTCCACAGGCGAGAGGTGCGAGACATGAAGCTATTGGAGTAGAAGAGACGGCTACATTTAGGAGTTTCGACAGTGAAGGGGTGAGAGCGGGATGCCAGCCTCGTAGGGCGCTTGAACTCATGACGTCTGGGAACCAGCGAATGCAGCTTCTCGGTATTTGTAAAACAGACAGAGAGAGGCGACGGCGCGTCTGTGAGAAAGTGACTGTAGACGAGATGCCAGATCAAGGCCAATTATGTTGCATATCCGCCTCTGGAGCCTATCAAGAACCCCGTGGCAAACAGAAGGGGCTCCAGACCATATATGGCAGCAATAGCTAAATTAGGTTTGTAGTCTTTAAATAAAATGTAGGCATCTTTAGTATTGATCTTTTTCACTCTATCTAGAATATTTAACTTATTGGCTATCCCAGTAGTCTCTGTATCGATCTCGGATATCGAACTGTTATATCTATCAAGTTTATATTTATCTGTTATTTTGTCCGTGAGAATTTTATAGTAGTGTAAGGGGTTACATATATAAATATTTTTAGATTTATCGGCTCTTACCCAAATGTGTTTGGAGTTTTAATAGTTTTTATGTCCTTGTTTAATCTTTCATGAAATTGGCTGGGGCCGCTTACTGAATTTCATTTTTTTTAACTATGACAAACATTTCTCTTTCAAAAGGATCCAAGAGTTTGCAGGAAGTTGGATTTTTGGGGTTTTTTAGATTTCGTATTTGCGATTTGGTGTTTGAGAGGGGGTTGAGATAGAAATACGCTTTTCATCGCAATCTCTTCACGATGTCAGCAATTTTTTTTTCCATGAGTGATATATTGAACGAATGCGGAGAAGGATATGGGGTATTTTTCAAATAATATTCCGGACAGAACTTATCTATGCTGGCAGAGGTAGTTAGACTTTCCAGATAGATTAATCCCGAGTGGGCTCAACTATTCCTTATAGGAGCAATATAATACAGGTAATAGATCTGCTGGTATATAATCCAGGTAGATACTAGTAATATCAAATATTAAAACTGATCCACAAAAAAGAGCTCAATGTATTTATTATAAAAGACCATATATATTAAATCAAAGGAACGAAGTAGTCTAAAATGCAGACATAGGAGCAGGTTTAAACTTATATAAGAACATAAATCTTCGTATTAAGAAACAGATTTCGTTAGGAATAAGAAAAGCGTACTGAAGTGTTTCGTAATATCAGTCATCCTATGCGGTTAAGAATGGTGAACAATCTACAGAAGGATGCCGATAATACGATTGACCGAATATATGAACAACAGTAAAAGTTTTAGACTAAATGGAAACTTGAAGGAAATTTATACTTAACATTAGGGAGAAGTAGATTTCTAGGGCACATAATGAGGAAAGAGGGCTTGGAAAATTAGATATTCACAAGGCAGATTGACGGCAAGTGGGACAGAGGAAAACAACGCATAACCTACCTAATGGGTTTGAGTAAAAGGATGGCGGAACAACGTTTAGGCGAGATAACAAAAAAAAAAGAAAAAACGCAAGAATATTAAGAACTACAAAGGACAGGAAGTTGTGGAGAGACATGATCGCCATAGTCCCGAAGGGACACGACACAGAGAAGAATAAGAATGAGCTTGTGTAAATGGATGATGGAACAAGGTTTAGGACATATAACAAAAAGACAAGATTTACTAAGAGCTACAGAGGACAGGAAGTTGTGGAGAGCCATGATCAGCAATGTCCTGAATGGATACGGTACATAGAAGAAGGAGCTTGACTAAATGGATGGCGGAACAGGGTTTAGGACAGATAACAAAAAGACAAAAATTATTAAGAATTAAAAAGGACTGCTAATTGTGCAGAGCCATCATCACCAACGTCCTGAATGGACACGACGCATAAAAAATAGAAGAATATATATATATATATATATATATATATATATATATATATATATATATATATATATACTGTGTGTATTTAGGCAGCAATTTTTCATTGATGTATGTTTCATTAACCTAAACTGAACAAAATAAACTATGAAATCTTCAAAAAATATTTTTAAATGCCTATAATAGATAACCGAAGCCATTGGTTTATAATAACGGCTTCCCATACTTAATACTTCTCGTTTTCACTCTCGCGAGGTCATGTGTGAGGTCACGAGCAGCGATGCGATTTTCGCTTCCGCGTCTCGTCTACACGAATTTATCGTTGCTTTGAAATTTTTCATGCAACAAAAACAGACTATCATTATTGTTTTGTCCGTGTATTGTTTAATTTATTGAAATGTAATTGTCATCTTTGATAATGGCTTGTGTAAACCGAAAACTTAGATAATATTAAAAAAAACATGTATCAATATGGTGATTTCCTTTCGTCTTTCAATGATGATGTTATTAAACTTATCAGGGGTAAAAGGAACTTACTTAAAATAAATAGACACAACATGTATATATTATTTTATGATATATATATATATATATATATATATATATATATATATATATATATATATGTGTGTGTGTGTGTGTGTGTGTGTGTGTGTGTGTGTGTGTGTGTGTGTGTTTTCATTTTCAAAACAAATTAAGAATAATATCAATACAATTCCATTTTATTAATTAATGGCATATATCCATCGTAATCATCAATCGGAGAAAATAAGGTCTTTTTTTCCATTCCAGGCCGATTAAATTTGGGATACTTCCGGAAATGAAAGCTGAGAGAATCGGCTTCAGCTCTTCATTTTTCATTGACGATAATTCTAATTCTAATGTGTGGCAATAAAATCCACCAGCGATGTTGTTTGCAAAACTATCGCGCAACATAATTTTTCATGTGAAAGGTCTGGTTATGCTATGACGATCGTTGCTGATAAAGAATTAATATACAGTTTGCCTTCGTGATAAACACTAAGTACCTCTTATTAGGCTTATGGCTTTATCCCGTTGAAACACCGATTCTCGTACGGTTACCGACAAAGGTCGATCGTGATCAGTACCAAGATGGTTGACCGCTTAGGAATAACAGGGGCTCTAAGCTTTGATATGCTGCTGGTCTAAAGGGGTTTCGGCAATATCTCGTTGAGACAACAGTTCTTGTCTGATCTTTGAAGTTAACTAACGTCGACATTGGTCAGTACCAAGATGGGTGACCGCTTCGGAATAATAGGTGCTGTAAACTTTGATGTGCGGCTGGTCTAAAGGGCTTACTGACATATTACGTTGAAAGACCGGTTCTCGTAATATCAAAGAAGTTAAGCAACGTCGACATTGGTCAGCACTAAAATGGGTGACCGGTTGGGAATAACATGTGCTGTCAGCTTTATTGTGTGGCTGTCCTAAAGGGCTTACGGGCATATCACGTTGAAACACCTGTTCTCGCGCAATCGCCAAAGTTAAGCAACGTCAACATTGGTCAGTAAGAAGATGGGTAACCGCTTGGGAATAACAGGTGCTTAAGCCTTGATGTGCGGTTAGTCTAAACGGCTTACGGCTATATCACGTTGAAACACCGGTTCTCATACGATCACCGAAGTTAAGCAACGTCAACATTGGTCATTAACAAGATGGGTGACCCTTGGGAATAGCAGGTGTTGTAAGCTTTGATGTGCGGTTGGTCTAAAGAGCTTACGGCCATATCACGCTGAAATACCGGTTTTCGTAAGATCACTGAAATTAAGCAACGTCAAGCTTGGTTAGTACCAAGATGGGTGACTGATTGGGAAAACCAGGTGCTGTAAGCTTGGATGGTCGGATGGTCTAAGGCTTACGGACATATTTCGATGAAACACTGGTTCTTGTACGATTATCGAAGTTAAGCAACGTCACATGTGTGTGGTACTTAGATGGGTGACCGCTTGAGAATATCAGGTGCTGTAAGATTGGATGTGTGGATAGTGTAATGGATAATGGCTAGGAATTAATAATTGGGGAGCCGAGTTCCTGTGCGATCACCAAAGTTAAACAACACCGAGCTTGGTCAGTACCTAGGTGGGTGACTGCTTGAGAATACCAGATGCTCCCATTTTCTAGTTCCGATTGTATTCACTCACGCGGAAATATCCCGGCGAAAGTTATTAATCCGCTTTTTCTAACCCCCAGCTATGGATTAATTAGTAGGAATGGTATCAGTAACTCATTATTAACTCCAAAAAAATTCAAACAATCTAAAAATATTTTCTTGCTTCTGCAAAATGTTGATAAACCGTAAAAAACAAACATCTAATCCCAGCTCATATGAATTGGTTATGAGAAAAATGTTTCTGGTTCGGGGCCTTCTCACAGATTTTCACCTACTGGACAAGGAAATACCACATTGCATCTCTGATCACGTACTTGTGGTGAGCACCAAAAAAGCTGGGAAAAGCCCGTTTCAAGTTCACAAGGTAATAAATGGCGAAAATAATCGTCACGACCAGAAATGGAAATTCGAACCGTTTCCAAAATATTTCGTTTTTATTTCAGTGATTCTCTTGAACGGTTTGAGTTGGTTGGCAGGTAGGAAGGTAGATAGGTAGATGACACTTAGAGACCACTTCTGCCACTTTTGATATCTCATCCAAACAGATCAGCTTTTCTCCACCTACTATCTTATCACAACCACCACAACGCGCAGTGGGCACCTCTAACGAGAAATATCCGAACTACCTCGACGGCCAGCCTTCATCCAGTAACGAGCAATATTTCTAAGAGCAATCTTTCCATGTCAAGGAACGTATAGAACCTCCCTCAGTCCCAACTGCGATCATTGATATAAATCCGCGATTGGAAATCTTCAACGTCCGGTTTGTTGTTACTTGACCCGAGAAGTTTTAATTCATTTATTATTTTATTCTCTTTTGTTCAAGTCGGTGACCGCTTTGAAAATTCCAGATTGCAGACTTCATAAAATATAAAATAGTCGATCATAAAATATGAAACAATTCTTTTATTTATGTTCCATGCCCTTTTCAGGACGTAGGCGATCATGGCTCTCCACCTCCCTCTATCCCTTGCAGCTCTCAACAAGTTCCTTCCCTCTGTTTCCTCCACTTGCTGAAGCCCTTACTGATAACCATGTATTCAGTCTTCTTGTAGTTTATGCTTAGTCCTTTCTTCTCACTCTCCGTCGTTATCTTCTGTAGGAGATTTTGTAATTTCTTTTCCGTGTCTTCTATCAATACTGTGTCGTCTGCGTATCTTATATTAAGGTTGTGGCTGCGAATTCTAAATCCCCGTAACGTTTCTAATTCTCCCAGAATTGCTTCGCTGTATAGGTTGAACAGGTCTGGTGAGAAGACGCATCCTTGCTTTACGCGCCTTTCTATTTTTGTATATTTACTGAACTCGTTCCCTATGCGTATGCATGCAGTTTGCTGCCAATATAGGTTCTTGATTATTCTGATATCCCTCCCGAATATATCAAGGTTGCTGAGCAGTTCCATCAGATCCTTGTGGCGTGCGTTGTCGAAGGTCTCTGCCTAGTCTATGAAACATGGGTACACGTCCTTCTGCATCAGTCACGATAAATAGCAGGACAAACCGGATAACAGGACACACCGGACAGAGAACACATGGTTGTCAAACAATTTCTGCGACCCAATCACCCCTTACATCTGGCCACCTAACTCCCCAGACTGCAATCCCTACGTCTGAGGTGCAGTTAAGCGAGAGAGCAACAAAACTCCTTGTAATACCAAAGATGAACTGAAGGCAAAGATTATGGTAGAATTCACCAAGTTTTTTGTATCGAAAGATACATGATCGCCAGGCGTGATACCCGCATAGGCGATCATGTATCTTTCGATACGTGACTGACGAGGCAGATTTTTTCCTGCAGTAAATTGCCATTTCTTTCTGCGGCAGACCAGTTTTCATCCAAGGCTATAGAACCTGGTCTGTCCTGCTATTTACCCATAGCTGGATAGAGAAGAAGAGGATTCATACCTTTCCCAAGGCTATTAGCACGTAAGTGAATATAATGGAAAGTCGGTCAGTCAGTTACGTGCCATGCGTGATACACGCGTAGGCGATCATGTATCTTTCGATACGTGACTGACGAGGCAGATTTTTTCGCGCAGTAGCTTGCCATTTTTTTCTGCGGTAGACCAGTTGCCACCCAAGGCTATAGATTTCGTTTTGTCCTGCTATTTATCCATATCTGGGGGGAGAAGAAGAGGATTCATACGCTTCCCAAGAGTATTAGCAAGTAAGTTAATGTAATGAATTAAACTGGAATTTAAACTCGGCTTTCCGATTCCTTAATCCAAGCCGCTATCTATTACTCAAAAAATCACACACGATCCCCTCCTATGTGGGTGTTGCACTAATAGGGTCGCATATATAAAATTTGCTTAATTTTCTTGTGAGAGTTTGTGAGGAATCGAAACTGTATCCTTAGATTTATTTCCAGTTGTGTACGAGGTGTTCTATATTGGGAACATGACGCATTTTATCTTTTATTCTAAATGTTTTTGACGGGTTCAGATTCAGCCTATTTAAATAACATAACTGGCAACCATTTTTCTTCCAGAGAGAGGCTTAGCTGACAAGAAAAATCTCATATTCCCTTTTATTCATACTAAAACCTTTCTGGCATTTGCACACAGTCCCCGTAACTAATGACACAGTACAAATATTATTTATTGATTGTGTCTCATTATGGCTTTTATGGCACTCATAAAAGATGCAATGACAAATAGGAACAACATTAAAAATGTACAGGATGCGATAGATAAATTGTCGTCTCTTTATATTTTTAATTGTTCACATTGTTTGTGTTTCTGTCGACTGCACAATACAGTAAGGTCAGTTGAGTCCGTCTGTGAGAAAAAGAGCACACTGACGCAATTCACTCCCCCAGAAATTTGGAAACGGTATGCTGTACTGCTTGGCATTCGCACCGGAAGCTCCTATACTAACATTTCAGAGTGTTTTAGTGTCAATCTGAGGACAGTGCAGAGTATTGAGAAAGAGTTTGATGAGTCTAATGGTGATTACGAAGGTCTTTGAAGTGATTACTAGTGATGACGTCGTTATGCCTCTATTCATCTTCCCAAAGGGCCTAAGGTTCAACACGAAGGCCTACATCAAGTGACTTGAGCAGGTAGTGCTGTTTAGAGACAGGAGGATGACTGCTGGGAGACCCTGTGTTTGACAACAGGATTCTGCACCATGCTACAAAAGCAAGAGAACCCAGTCATGGCTGTCAAAAAATATCTGCGACCCAGTCACCCCTTACATCTGGCCACCTAACTCCCTAGACTGCAATCCCCATGTGTGGGGTGCAGTTGAGCGAGAGACCAACAAAACTCATTGGAATACTAAAGATGAACTGAAGGCAAGGATTATGGCAGAATTCACCAAGTTAAATAAGAAGACGGCCCAGAAGAATTGCAGGAGATTCCGAAGTCATCTGGAGGCCGTGATTGAAGCCAACGGCGATTTTATTGAATAAATTTACCTTTTAGTATTTCAAGATATTTTTGTGTAATTTTGGTAAAATATGTCAATATGTTAGATGTTAGTTTTATTTTCATTTTTGCGTCATTTAGACGACAATTTATCCATCGCACCCTGTATTCACAAACGGGTTAAATACTAATATACATTATTAATGACATATTTATTTACTTTTAAACAAATTTATAGCTGGCGTCTAAATTTCTGATACCAAAATTTATCCTTATTTACACTATTTATATTCGGACTATTGTCCTCATCTATGTTGTTATTATCACAACGTTTCGGCCAGTCGGGCATTTATCAGGTGTATACAGAGTCGGTTTATTCTTTAAGCTAGTTTGGGATACAACTTAGGACCCCTCAAGCTTTTATAACGCAATTAATTTAACTTTTCAGATGTTAGAACTTCTAAATAGTGTCATAAACTGAAACGATATTATGAGGTCTCCAATCATCACTCCTCAGGTCTGAATCCACAGATTCCTTTCTCTGGGACTGGCTGCCAACCACGGCTACAGTCTAGACTGGCCTACTATTTAACCCATAGAACGAGAAGTGATGGATTCATATCTTTACGAAGGGCACTTGTGCGAAAGCGAATGCAACGAACTCGACCGGAATTCGGAGAGCGTACGTCGATTTTGCTTTCCGAGCCGCTAGCAATGACAGAGAATGCTGATTCTTTGTGGCATAAGGCCGTAAGTGTGAAGCACCTAGTGAGGATCGAACTCACTACTCAGTAGTAACTGATCTTGCGGGTCAAGCTTGCTAACCATTACACCCAGTCAAGGTGCCCAAATGATTTCCTGAGCGTAGTTTCGATGTGGCACAAGGCCGAAATTGTGGAGTACAAGGTGAGGGTCGAACTCACTACTCAGTCGTATATGATCTTGCGAGACAAGCTTGCTATTACATCATGTCAGGATTCCCAAGGCGATTTTCTAAGCGTACCTTCGATGTCGCATAAAGCCGAAATTGTGGCGTACCCAGGGTCGAACTCACTACTCAGTCGTGATTGATCTTACGAGACAAGCTTGCTAACTATTTTTAGGTACCTATTCTTTGATAATGGACTCGCCCATAGATAATAAGTAGGAGTAGCAGTGGCAAGTCTGCAGAACAGTGTTGAGCGGCCTCTGACTGCGCACACCTTCTGTCGAACTCTCTGCATTAGCAGAGAGGAACCCGGACGAGGCTTTGCCGAAGGGCAAGCTTTCGTCCGGGGAGGTAGACAGGGCCTGAACCCGTCTAATCGGCTTCAAAAGGCTATTTTTTTGGCCGAGCCTACGGGCTCGGAGAAACCCACAATAAAACCGGCCTTGAGCGCGTCAGTCGAGATTCGGACATTTGAAGTATCAACCATCACAACTAGATTTGCTGCGTCATTGACTATTATTTTCCAAGTTCCTAACGTTTTGTACGACTTATTAGAAATA